ATGCAAAATAAAAGTATAGTGACTATAAAAGTTAAATAAAATGTATGATAAAGATGCCAAAATATGAATGCATCACTTCTTTGGTACTTTGTTTTTGTAGATATCGACGGCTTTTAAACTAAAGTCGTTTTATTATTTTTTGTTTTATTTTTGATGTACTTGATTTTACTAATAGAATTAATCAAACCAAAAAATATTYATAAAAACTAAATATGAAGGTTAAAATCGGATTATCATTAAAATAAGTACTAATGGGACAAAATTGAGTTGAAAAAATACTAATGGGACATTTTCTATTTGATTTCGACCCAATTAGCCAAATTTCTCTAATTTTTTTTTATAACGTAGATTTTTAGAATGCATAATATCACTATACTATCATTCTATTATGTGTTCAGTTTATATACTTTTTCTTAAATATTTTTATAAATCTATGTATACTAAATATGCATTAGTCCTATATAATATGCAATAAAAGTGGTAGATTAATTGAGTCAATGAATTATTTATAAGAGATGTAAATCATTTTTTAAAAAAGGTATTTTCTAGGATTCTAATATTTCATAATCTTCTTTCTTCTTTTAAAATGATAATTTTTACAAGACATGATCATCTATCCGCCAAGATGATCAGTCCGTGTTGGATCAAAATAAATTGTCATTACGAGACCAGTCTATCCAATAATATGGGATTCAGATATTGATGTAGTGTTTGATGCATTTTAAGTCTTTTTATCCTCTTCTTTTAGCTTAGTTCTTATGCATATTTCCTTCTTTTAGTTATTTTAAGTCTTATTCTTGCATTTGTCCCATTTTACAGTCTAGGATGGTTTCTTACATTTTTTTGTTTGCTAAGAATGTTAATATCACTAGAAATTAAAATTTAGGTATTACATGAGTTTTACCTAGAATAAAATAATCTTGGCAAAAAGGAATAAAAACAAGGTTATAATAAATTGGGTTAGGTTTGGGTATTGATTAAGAGCATGTGCAATGCTAGTTCTTAATGCATGTTCTTAGTATTAATATGATTAAATTTAATTGCACATGCTCTTAGGCAAGTAAAAACTGATCTTATTTTAGATGATTTTATGAGTGTTCTTACTGGACATGTGTCAGCAGAACAAAAAAAAACAAAAACGCGTGAAAATTTCTTTCACGC